AAATATCAATTAAGTCCATCTTGTTTAATGTATCATTTAAAGCTTGTGTTTCCTTATTTATTTTCATTTTGGATGATCTGTCCATTGGTGAAAGTGGGGGGTGTTAAAGTCCCATACTATGAATGTGTTACTGTCGATTTCCCCTTTTATGGCTGTTAGTATTTGCCTTATGTATTGAGGTGCTCCTATGTTGGGTGCATAAATATTTACAATTGTTATACCTTCTTCTTGGATTGATCCCTTGATCATTATGTAGTGTCCTTCTTTGTCTCTTGTAATGGTCTTTATTTTAAAGACTATTTTGTCTGATATGAGAATTGCTACTCCAGCTTTCTTTTGGTTTCCATTTGCATGGAATATCTTTTTCCATCCCCTTACTTTCAGTCTGTATGTGTCTCTAGGTCTGAAGTGGGTCTCTTGTAGACAGCAAATAAATGGGTCTTGTTTTTGGATCCATTCAGCCAATCTGTGTCTTTTGGTGGGAGCATTTAGTCCATTTACATTTAAGGTAATTATCGATATGTATGTTCCTATTCCCATTTTCTAAATTGTTTTGGGTTCGTTGTTGTAGGTCTTTTCCTTCTCTTGTGTTTCTTGCCTAGAGAAGTTCCTTTAGCAGTTGTTGTAAAGCTGGTTTGGTGGTGCTGAACTCTCTCAGCTTTTGCTTGTCTGTAGAGGTTTTAATTTCTCCATCAAATCTGAATGAGATCCTTGCTGGGTAGAGTAATCTTGGTTGCAGGTTTTTCTCCTTCATCACTTTAAATATGTCCTGCCAGTCCCTTCTGGCTTGCAGAGTTTCTGCTGAAAGATCAGCTGTTAACCTTATGGGGATTCCCTTGTGTGTTATTTGTTGCTTTTCCCTTGCTGCTTTTAATATGCTTTCTTTGTATTTAATTTTTGACAGTTTGATTAATATGTGTCTTGGCGTATTTCTCCTTGGATTTATCCTGTATGGGACTCTCTGTGCTTCCTGGACTTGATTAACTATTTCCTTTCCCATATTAGGGAAGTTTTCAACTATAATCTCTTCAAATATTTTTTCAGTCCCTTTCTTTTCCTCTTCTTCTTCTGGAACCCCTATAATTCGAATGTTGTTGCATTTAATGTTGTCCCAGAGGTCTCTGAGACTGTCCTCAGTTCTTTTCATTCTTTTTTCTTTATTCTGCTCTGCAGTAGTTATTTCCACTATTTTATCTTCCAGGTCACTTATCTGTTCTTCTGCCTCAGTTATTCTGCTATTGATCCCATCTAGAGTATTTTTCACTTCATTTATTGTGTTGTTCATCGTGGTTTGTTTCATCTTTAGTTCTTCTAGGTCTTTGCTAAATGTTTCTTGCATTTTGTCCATTCTATTTCCAAGATTTTGGACCATCTTCACTATCATTATTCAGGTAGACTGCCTATTTCCTCTTCATTCGTTAGGTCTGGTGGGTTTTTATCTTGCTCCTTCATCTGCTGTGTGTTTTTCTGTCTTTTCATTTTGCTTATCTTACTGTGTTTGGGGTCTCCTTTTTGCAGGCTGAAGGTTCGTAGTTCCTGTTGTTTTTTGTGTCTGTCCCCAGTGGCTAAGGTTGGTTCAGTGGGTTGTGTAGGCTTCCTGGTGGAGGGGACTAGTGCCTGTGTTCTGGTGGATGAGGCTGGATCTTGTCTCTCTGGTGGGCAGGTCCACGTCTGGTGGTGTGTTTTGGGGTGTCTGTGGAATCATTATGATTTTAGGCAGCCTCTCTGCTAATGGGTGGGGTTGTGTTCCTGTCTTGCTAGTTGTTTGGCATAGGATGTCCAGCACTGTAGCTTGCTGGTCGTTGAGTGAAGCTGGGTGCTGGGTTGAGATGGAGATCTCTGGGAGATTTTCGCCGTTTGATATTATGTGGAGATGGGAGGTGTCTTGTGGGTAAGCAATGCCATTTCCATTGAGCTTTCGTGCCGCCCTAGTCTCGAAGCTCCCGCCACTGCTCCTCAGGCCGGGTCCCCGTTGATCTCTTTTTTTATGAGTTTGTTTTGAAGCATAATTGACCTACTGTGTTAGTTCCTGTTATACAATATAGTCATTCAGTATTTCTATACATTTCAAACTGATGGCCACAGTAAGTCTAAGATGTCACCATACAAAGATGTTACATAGTTATTGACTGTACTCCCCACACTGTATTTTTCATACCTGTGACTCATTTATTTTGCTACTGGAAGTTTGTACCTCTTGGTCTTCCTCACGTATTTCTCTCCTCTCCCTAACCTCCTCCCCTCTGGCAACTACCTGTTTATTCTCTGTATCTATAACTCTGTGTCTGTTTTGTTGTATTTGTTCATTTGTTTTGTTTTTATTTTTTTTAATGCTGGTTTGGCCAATTTTTTTTTTTTTTTTAAGATTTATTTGTTTGGTTGGTTGCGCCGGGTCTTAGTTGTGGCATCTGAACCCTTAGTTGCAGCATGTATGTGGGATCTCGTTCCCTGACCAGGGATTGAACCTGGGTCCCTTGCATTGGGAGCACGGAGTCTTACCCACTGTGCCACCGGGGAAGTCCCCATTTGTTTTATTTTTTAGATTCCACATATAAGTGAAATATATGGTATTTGTCTTTCTCTGTCTGACTTATTTCACTTAGTATAATACCCTCTAGGTCCATCCATGTTGTTGCAGATGGTGAGATCTCATTCTTTTTTGTAGCCAACATTCCTCTCCTGGCCATTCTTGTTTCATTATCACATCAGATTTCAAATCAGTCCCTGGTGCCTGTGTCCCCCAGTAAAAAACCTGTTCATTCATTTATTTATTTATTTTTGCGGTACGCGGGCCTCTCACTGTTGTGGCCTCTCCCGCTGCGAAGTACAGGCTCCGGACGCGCAGGCTCAGCGGCCATGGCTCACGGGCCCAGCCGCTCCGCGGCACGTGGGATCCTCCCGGACCAGGGCACAAACCCGCGTCCCCTGCATCGGCAGGCAGACTCTCAACCACTGCCCCACCAGGGAAGCCCCCGTTCATATTTTTATTAGATGGTGTTAAACTTATTAGGTAACTTATGGAGAATTGATTTCTTTATGATTTGGGGTCTTCCTCCTCATAAATACCATATGTCTGCATTTTGACAAGCCTCTGTGCCCTACAATGAAGTCTTACATGTTTGCTCCTACATGAATTCCTAGCTGTTTCATCTTCTTTTGTTGTTATTTGACATGCCAGCCTTAGGGTCACTTTAACTGGTTCCAGTCTTGTACTCTAAAAACAACAAAGGATGATATTTATTTATTAAATTTATTAATTTATTTTTGGCTGTGTTGGGTCTTTGTTGCTGCGTGCGAGCTTTCTCTATTTGCAGTGAGCAGGGGCTACTCTTCGCTGTGGTGCACGGGCTTCTCATCGCGGTGGCTTCTCTTGTTGTGGAACACGGACTCTAGGCACACAGGCCTCAGTAGCTGCGGCACGCGGGCTCAGTAGTTGTGGCTTGCAGGCTCTAGAGCTCAGGCTCAGTAGTTGCAGCACTTGGACTCAGTAGTTGTGGCACGCGGGCTCAGTAGTTGTGGCTTGTGGGCTCTAGAGCGTAAGCTCAGTAGTTCTGGTGCACGGGCTTAGTCGCTCCAGCGGCATGTGGGATCTTCCCAGACCAGGGCTCGAACCCATGTCTCCTGCATTGGCAGGTGGATTCTTAACCACTGTGCCACCAGGGAAGTCCCAAGGGATGATATTTAAATCAGGCACTTTTGGTAACTTTATCTTCTTTACCTCTAAAGACCCTTTGAGGTAGGAACTAATATGACTCAATCTTGACATAGTAGAAAGTGGTGAATAAATGAATGATTGATCCTCACTTTGACGTTGGAGGCCCAGAGGCCCTGAGAGGTTAAGTTCCCCAGGGACACTTAGCTAGTCTTACACGTTAGAGCAAGGTGTTAACTCATGGGTTCCACTCCAAACAGATGCTTCTGATCACCATGAGATACAGTTACGGGGATGTTAAAGGTTCTTCTGGAGACAAACACGGGATCAGTGAGAAAAGTTGCTGACATTTATTGAGCACTTATGTGTGAAACATCTGTTGTGTGTTTTGTGTGTTGCTGCACTCCCCAGCCCCCCACCCCATGCGGAAGTTATTACCCCTGCTTTGCATGTGAGGAAACTGAGGCCCAGAGAAGGTAGCTTTTCCGGACAGTTAAACAGATTTCCTTATTGCAGCACTTGTCAGTACCCTTTTTTTTTTTTTTTTTTTTTTGCTGCATTGAGTCTTCATTGCTGTGTGCGGGCTTTTTCTAGTTGCGGCAAGCGGGGGCTACTCTTCGTTGCAGTGCACGGTCTTCTCATTGCAGTGGCTTCTCTTGTTGCAGAGCACGGGCTCTAGGCGCGCGGGCTTAGTTGCTCCGTAGCATGTGGGATCTTCCCAGACCAGGGCTCGAACCTGTGTCCCCTGCATTGGCAGGCAGATTCTTATCCACTGCGCCACCAGGGAGCCCTGCCAGTGCCTTTAACACGGCATTCCAGTGGCTATCTACACTGTCCAAAAGAAGCAGTTGTTAGGGCAGCTGGGCTGGGGCTGGGCGTTGTGAACTTTTTTTAACTTTTTAAGGTAACTGAGGGATGAAGATGGCCTCCCTTAGCTGTTTAAATGCGTGTTATTACATTGCATGTGCGTTTTAGTGGGATGTTCTGAACGCTGACTGCATCGTGAGTCTCCGAGACAAGATGCAACATGCCACATCGTGGCATCTGACCGGAGCCTGTCTATGGTCCTAATTAGGTCCTGGCTCGTTGCTAAGTGCTTTATGGACATGATCTTATTTAACCCCCTGGGACAGCTGTGTGCATCTCGTGAGCTGAGAGGTTCCCACTGTGCAGGTGAAGAGCTGGGTCCAGGAAGGTTGAGGGGCCTGCTCAGCTCTGTGGGATTAGGACGTGCCAGAGCGGGGACTTGCACCATGTGTGCATGACCCTTCTTGCTCCCCGGGGCTGTAAGGTGCCAGACGGATATGCCGTCTGCGGTCTTGGGCAGCTTTGCTTGTCTCTCACCCAGGGCCACGATCATGTCTCTTGAGGACTTTGAACAGCGCTTGAATCAAGCCATTGAAAGAAATGCCTTCCTGGAGAGCGAACTGGACGAGAAGGAGAATCTCCTAGAATCTGTTCAGCGACTGAAGGATGAAGCCAGAGGTCAGGAGGCCTTGGCTTTGCTCTATGTGTTTCACCACCGTTGTGCCCTCTCCGGGTCTGAGGGTGTCCTGTCCCACAGCATCACCCAGCATTACCTGTGTTCCGAGGGCAGGGAACACACCGGGCAGGCTGAGCCTTGGTCCCCACCCTGTGCTAAGAATTGTCCGATGTCCAACCCTGTAGAGACCCTTTGTGGGTATTTAAGCGCAGCACCCACTTTATGCCCAGCAGGAGCACAGGAGTTTTGTGGGGAGAAAATGCCTGTTGATGGAATTGCTAGCCAGCCCATTTCTTTTGTGACTTGATGGCTGCTGATACACGTGGCTTGGACCTCCAGAATCTCATCAGCGTTTGCTCTTTGGAGGTAGCACTTCCAAAGGTAGAGCTTTCTAACTCTAAGACATTAGCAAGTCATCCAAGTTGGGTCCATAAGAGATTTTGTTAAAGTCCCAATTAATTGTTTATGACATTCATTTCGTTTCTAATGTTTAGCCAGTAGAAGGGGGTTTAGAAAGAAAAACTCTTTTAAGTTTAAAAGGTAGTTGTTCCTAAATGCCCATCAGTAATGAAGTGCTTAAGTAAATTACATAGATTTATTTTGTGGAATGTTAGTTAAACAGTTGTTCAAACAAATACGGTATAGATATAAATGTAGTCATAGAAAACTTGTTAAGGGACTTCACTGGCAGTCCAGTGGTTAAGACTCCGTGCTTCCACTGCAGGGGGTACGGGTTCGATCCCTGGTTGGAGAACCAAGATCCTGCATGCCGCTTGGCCAAAAAAATTAAATAAATAAAAAAGCCTATTAGGACATACCATTGAAGGGGGGAAAACACATAGATAGTAGATGTATGTTTCTATTTACGCTTAATAAAAGTTATTCATCTTATATGCTTAATAGATACACATATAAACTCTATGTGTGAAATGCAGGGAAAAAGGATTGAGAAGATCTCCCTCATGTTACAGTTGATTAGGAGTGAGAAGGGGCATTTGAGGACGGGTTGGGAAAGCACATTTTCACTGAGTATTCTGTGTATACCTTGATACATTTGAATTCTCTTAAAACAGTAAAAGCAGTAGTGTATCACTGCCATGATTTGAAAAAAATTTTAAACCTTCTTGTTTTTACTCAAAAGAAAAACCAAGCCTTCCAGGAAAGGTCCTGTGGGATTTGCTTCATTCAGGGTTTCCACCTGGAGTTTTTCACTCTGATGGTTCTTCTTGCTGACCAGTGTCTCCTGTTGACCCTCCCCTTGCCTCATCACTCAAAGCAGAGACTTACATCTGAATCCTTTTCCTGGCCCAGATTTGCGGCAAGAATTGGCTGTGCAGCAAAAGCAGGAGAAACCCAGGACCCCCATGCCCAGCTCTGTGGAAGCTGAAAGGACAGACACAGCTGTACAGGCCACTGGTTCCGTGCCATCCACCCCCATAGCTCATCGAGGACCCAGCTCTAGCTTAAACACACCTGGGACATTCAGACGTGGTAAGGAGGATGGGAATCAGGAGGGTTCTCTTGGCTTCACAAAGCTTTCCTGGGTGAGAACCGGGGCGGGTCCTGGGTGAGAGAGAAGCAGGACCAGGCTGTGCAGCAGGGAGAAAACTGGGGTGCTCACAGGGGCAGACCATTGTGGTGCGTGGGAGGAGCCTCTTGGATGTAATACGATAGGGAGTAGTGGAGTCTGCGGCAAAGTAGAGAATGGAAGCCTCATCCAGAGGGGCAGCTGCCACTCTGCTTCTACCGCAAGAGGTGTGGGCTCAGCAGACACTCCACTCTTCACCAGAAGCCAGAAATCCTCTTGTCTAATATGAAATCTCCCAAATTAAAAGTTTCAGTAACCAAATAAAAAATTTAAAAAGGATTCTGTGGGTCCAGCAATACATCATCTAGAACTGGACCCAGCATAACCTGTGCTATGCAGTAAAAACCAAGAAATTTGAGTTCTTCCCCAGCCCCTCTGCTGACTGATTAACTGTGAGGCTCTGATTGGGCCACTTAATAGTAAATAATAAAAATAGACAATTATTGAGCACGTGGGATATGCCAGTCCCTCTGCTTACTGTGCTTTGTACTTACATATGACCTCACTGGATTCGCACCATGGCCCAAGACGCAAGTAATGCAAGTGCTGTCCCCATGTGATGGGTGAGGAGACTGAGGCCCTGAGTTAAGGAGCTGACCTGACATCACGCAGCTGGCAAATGGCAGGCCGGCTCCCGGGGTTACACCACCACATGCTCCCTGTCCCTCAGCTTGTGCCCAGGATGAAGAGAGTGTGAGGTTTCCACAATCCCAGGCTAGACCACACTTGAATAAGCACACGACTCAGCTGGGCCTCAGATTTAGCAGGTCTGGGCAGGGCCTGAGATCCTGCGTTTCTAACAAGCGCCCAGGTGATGCTGGTCCTGCTGCTCCGTGAGCCCTGCTTTGAAGAGAGAGGAGGCTCTGAGGAGCAGAACCCTTACCAGTGGGGCTTGTTCAGATGCTGTTAATGTTAATTAACTGTATGGAATTCCTAGAAGTTTAAGAGGGCCTGTTTTGATTTTGTTTAAAAAGAATAGCAGGTAAAGATAAATATTAAGTATAGTCATTATAAGGCTGCAAGAAGTTGGTCATCAGATATGCTCTTGTTATGTTAGGCAACAAACCATTGACCGAAACAGGGCAGCATTGGGATCAGAGGGGCTTGCTTGCCCACCCCCAGGTTTCACGTTCAGAGACGTTAGTGCAGACTTTTGAGTGTGTGTTGGTGTCATGTGTGCGTCCTTTTGCACACGCAGGTCTGGACGACTCCACTGGGGGGACCCCCCTCACGCCAGCGGCCCGGATATCTGCCCTCAACATTGTGGGAGACCTGCTGCGGAAAGTGGGGGTAAGACGGCGCTTCCCCAGGGTCCGTGTGGTGTCTTCTGTCTTCAGGAGACTTGAGGGGTGACCTTACCTATTGCTTCCCCTCTGGCAGAGGCTTCGTTAGGTGCAGGTGTCACCCTGGCTCTCGTGTCCCTTACAGTCGCTGTGCTTCTATGGGTGTTGTTTCTGACAAACACCCGGGCTGTGACCCTGAGTCACCCTTTGACCCCCGGCTGTATCTTTCTTTCCCTGTACCATTTTCCCTGGCAATTTGGGAGATTCGGATGGTATCTATGATATTTTTTCTTAATTTGAAAAAACTGAGAGACATTTGAAAACTGCCTTCCCTTTTTTTAATTTCTCAGGGAGTTAAAGGGAAAATCTTGAAAGGCTATGGCAGAGAACATGACCTTATAGGTTTTATGTTAATTCCAGGGAAGGAGTCTTTTGTGCTTAAGAAATCACATAGATATTCTCTGTAGTTATTTTTCTTAGTTTTAAAAATGATGCCTGGAAAGCCACAGAGTTTAAGTCCTGCCAGTCTGTCATTGACCAGAATGTATGCATTCAGAGTTAATAGAAGCTTGCAGCTCGTTTTCTATGTTTTTCCTTTTGGCTTTTGTTTTTTTTGGATCGCTGTTATATAAGCAGGTTTTTATGTTTAGTTAGAGTATACAGAAGCTCAGGGTGATCTCAGTACCCATTTGGTTTCCAGAGGATCTGTTTACAGCGAGGCAAGTCCTTCTTCAAACCTCCTGCCACGTGGTGCATGTTTTACAAGGTAGCGGAGAGAGTGAATGATTCCAAAAGTTGATTTCATATTTCTTGTAGGCAGACTTAAATCATAGGTCGGGTTGGGGACTCTTCTGGAAGCTCCTAAATATCTTAGACTACCAGTTCTACGAGTTGGACATACATTGAATTTGGTGATGGGGTGGAGCACGCTTTGGGATTCTAACACACAACCCAGTTTGACAACCACTGTCTTAAGCTATTATTATGTGTATGGTCTCTGGTGAGAGGCAAGAGTTCTTGTCTTCAGCTTGAGACAGGAAAGCGTATTTCTCTCCAGGCTCTGGAGTCCAAACTTGCTTCCTGCCGGAACTTCGTGTATGATCAGTCCCCAAACCGACCCAGTGGCCCAGCCTCAGGGTGGGGGAGCAAGAACAGAGACGGCGGCGACAGACGGCCAGGCAGCACCAGCGTGCCTCTGGGTGACAAAGGGTCAGTACCTTCTGCTGTTCTTCCTCAGTGTCGGGAGAACCCATCCTCTCCAGCCGGGAGCCTCTGACCCCTGACCCATAGCCATTTTTCAAAGTCGCAGGATTATGTCAATGAGGTATTATCCTCTACTCCATCCCTTAAGACAGAGTTAGGTGGTGTGTGTGCTGGTTTAGGCAAATGGCCAAGGAGAGGGTCATTTTTATTACTTGATTCTGCAGCCCCAGCTTCTGGTCATGCTGTGAGAATGTCCTTTGTATAAATCACTCCCTTGTTTAAGACTCAAGCTTCAAACACTGCTCTGCTTCCCCCAAAAGAGGATTTTTTTTTTTAACCTTTAGAACCTTCAGGAAACTGAATCAGCCAGACTAGATTCCTGAAGCCAGTCACCTGATTGGAAAACACAAATCTGATCTCTAACAGCTTCATTTATTTTCTTGCCTGAAGAAAATCAGTGCAGCTTCCAGATTCTAGAATTCTGTAAGATGCGCCACTATCTCACTGGACCCCAGGCCACGTAAATTTGGGAGCGATCAGTGGCAGACAGAGGACAGGAAATGAAGAATCATTCTCCCCAGCATGCACATAACTTCCGGACCTTTAGATGTGGGTGTTTTTTTGGAGCGTCTTCTGCGACTGGGCTTTTTGCGTGGCCTTGGGCATGTGAGCCCTAGATAGCCAGTGTCCTTTTCTTCATTTCACAGGAGAGAAAATTGAGACCCAGTGAGACACTGCTCCCGACCTTGATATTCACTCTTATAACTTTGTGGGGCCCCGTGCTAGCCAGTCTATAGCAGCTGTAATGTCCGCCTAATTTGGTTTGCTCTGTCTGAAGGTTGGGAAAACGCCTGGAATTTGGGAAGTCGCCTTCAAATATTTCCTCACCATCGCTGCCGTCAGCCCAGGGTGTAGTCAAGATGTTGCTTTAGGAAATCCACGGAAGCCAAGGTCCCGGTGTCTGTGCAGGAGTCATTTTATCCTCCTTCCCTCTTTAAACTAGGTTTTTGTTTTTTTTTAAGTTAGTTTGAGATATACGAGCAAGCAGTCGCACTAGCCAGTGACGGTGGGGAGTGGGGATCGCCTGTGGCCCCGGGTGGTCGTCCCCAGGAAATGCCATCTCATAACCCCTGGCCTCCTTGTCGGGGTGTTGCCAATGGACAGGGACAAAGCGGACCCTCTGGAAATGGCGACGTGGGTGCTGAGGCTGCTCCATCATTTTCAGCAGACCTGAGTCCTGATTGGTCTTGAGAGGTGTTTTTCATGACCGGGGACACCTATAAAGTGGGGTCTGAGCCCATCTCAGGCTCACTCCGGCCCCCACTTTGCTGGAGCTTCTTCCAGAACAAAATCTCCAGTGCTCTTTGGCACAGCAGGGATCAGTGCACTGAAATCACATCTAGGGGTGAAGAACAGAACAGGCATGTACCTTTTATTTAAACTGTGGTGTGGTGTACCTCTGAGACGTTTTAATCTGCCTCTCACTGAGTCTTTTAGAGGCATGCTTGAGTTTCAGAGTACGTTTTGTGGGACCAGGTCAGTGGAAACTCTGTGTCCTCTTTAGACCAATCCTGGCTGTAAGTTGTCCTGAGCCCCTCTGTCCTGGCCTGGGGGTGACCTCTGCTTCAGGACCCTTAGGGTCTCTGGGGTGTGATGGCCCCTAAGAACAGGACTTCATTCAAAGCCTTGGTGAAATAATTGGGGTGACCTTCGGATAAGATTAAACCACCAAGACTGTCGGTGGGAGGTTCCTTACTAAAGAAGAAACGAACCCAGGATTTCCACACAGATGGCGTGCAGCTCATCCCTGCTGGTTGTGAACGGCAGTCTCACAATTTGGACGCAAGTAAAAAGAACACATGAATTCCAGCGCGTGCGTGCAGCTTAACGGCCTTCTGTTACTAAGTTATTTTTCCAAAAGAACAGCAAAAATATCCTTGAGTTGAAAACAGAACTTTTCAAATGCTACTGAAATTCAGCAGAGAATTAAACTTGAGTGCCCACTTCGTTGCCCTGGCAACATTCTAACCTATATCGGTAAAAGATGTACTTCTATTTTTTTAAAAGAACAATAAAATCAAGAGAAACTGATTTTCAGCTAGTTTGTGGTGGTCAGTAAATGCTGCTGCCTTTGTGCTTCTGTGTTTGCTATCTGGTGATGAAAAACTTTTGTTTTTTTAACCAAGTGACTATGAAAAAAACTACTTTTTTAAAGATTTCCTTTCGAGTCAGCTTCTTAGAATTGTATTGGGACACGTGCATGTCCTGTTCAGGGTGTATTCGCATTTGGTCATTCAGTGCGTCCTTGGTTTCTGTAATTCCCCTCTTTTCAGTCTGTTTGATCCCATGGAGTTGGTGTATGGAATCATATGTATTGAGTGGAAACTTCGCCAGGGACCTCTGTCTAGGACATGCAGGCCAAGGAAGGGACGGGCCCAGGCCTGGGTTTTATGGCCCTCACGCCAAGAACGGTTTTTACATTTTTAAAGGGTGGTTTAATTTTTTTAAAAAAAGACAAAAATGTGACAGAGACCATGATGGAGGCTAAAATACTCAAGTTTCTGGGCCTTTATAGGAAAAGTTTGTCGAGCCCTGCTGGTCGAAGTCTTGTGTTTTAACTCAAACATTCAAGGAACTCACATTCTTCACATTAAATACGTGCTGTTTTGATTGATAAATATGTTCTTCCCGGGCATGGTCCTACTCCTTGGGCCTCGAGCCACCCACCTCCTGTGTGGAGGAGCCCCTCACTCACACTCACTCTGTGTCTCTGCTCTGCTTTTGGCCAGTTGTGGGGTCTCAGACGATTCATCTCACCTCCCTGGGCCTCAGTTTCCCCATTTAATGAAATAATAACCCTGACTTGATAGGGTTGTCATGAGGATTAAATGAGGCCACCCCCCCCACCCCGTCCTCTTTCTCTAGAAAACAACAGAAAAGTCAACTCTATTCTAGTGATTTATAACCTTTTATTAGTGAGGGTGTCCTTAAGTACAGCTGGGGTGCATATAAAACAGTGTGACATTCCTGCTCTTAGCCGTTTGAGCGGCGTCTCCTTTTTAATTCACGTGACTACAGAAGGCACTTGGTCTCGGTGAACTGTGTGCATCTGATGTGCGGGAACCGGAGGGAAGAGGAATTTTCAAACCAGGGCCCACCGGGACGATGGAAGAGTCCACAGGGCAGGAAGGGCTGGGGGTGGGGACAGTGGCACCCATCGTGGTGACTTTCTCCCCAATTCATGTAAACTAAGTTGCCAGTGATTAGTTACCATGGATATATTTTTCTAAAAATTCAAAATCTCTGCACAGTTCTCGGCAGAGGGAGTGGGTGTGTCTGTGTCTCTTGTTGGGTTTTTCTCCTTCGGTACATCGTTCCAAACTTAAGTTGATGCCCTGAATGCAGGGTAGTGGTCTTTATATTCATCGTGAGGGGTGTCTGTGATGTTTGGAGTTTGAAAATGGATTTAGATGGTGCTAAGAGGAGTCCACTGGGTTTGGTTCTGTCCTGTTTTGAGCAAGTTGTTCATTCACTGGCTTTGGTTCCGTTGAAGTCTGCATCGCGAGCGTCCATATCCTCTTCAGAACCGTCCGCGTTTTCAATAACTCTACGTCCTCCAGACCTTCTCGAGGGAACAAAAGAGGTCTCGTTCCCTCGCCTGTGGGTGTTAAGAAAACGCATGTTTCTTTAGTACAGAAATCTCCCTCGAGCTTGGAAGAGATTTTCAGACGGGGCAAAAAACAAACACAAACAAACTCGAATGAGACGCAAATATTCAGGTTGAAGTGAACAAATCCTGACCCATATGGGTGCATTTAATCAGCTGGAATGGGGGCAAAGTAGGTTTTTCAAAGCAGGACCATCTGCTTTAAAAAGTATCTGGCTTGGTCATTTGCTGACCCACAGGATTCTGGTTGGCTGTGGATTTCTGTTTAGAAAAGAAGGAAAAAAGGCAAGTGGGGGTGATGGCCTCATGGGATTATTCCTACACTGTGGAGCAGGGATGAGGGGGACCTGTTGTGTCTGTACCTCCTTGCTTTCAGAAGGAAAAGGGGGCAGGGGTTTAGGTTTTGAATTGTAGGAAGGTGAGAATGACCACCAACCCTTGAGAGGGAAGGAGGTCCCTGCATGGATGCCAAGGGTGCTGTCTGGTTAAAGGCACTGCATTGCTCTGCTTTTATGGAGCAGAATTCTTGTTCTGAGTTCCCCCAGGGCAGGGATCTCGCCTGTTTGGGGCGCCCCATGGCAGGCACTGTGCAAGGCATAGAACGGGTGCTCAATGAATATTTGTCAGAAAAACATTAGACATGTTAATCCAGGGTGTCTTTTAGCCCTAGCTGGTGGGACACCCCTTTCTCTCTGTCCTTTTTGCTCCCATCTCCTCTCCTCCGTGCTCTGGATGCCCTTTTCCCACAGGGCCTGCCCTGGTCACCTGAAGTAAGGCTTTGCATAGGAGGGCAGGGCAGGCAGGAGGAGGAAAAATCAGACCCGCCTGTACTTAACCTCCACTGTTTGGAAGGAAAGTTTGCCTTCTTTTCAGCGACCACAACAAATAATGTTGTGTGTTGGGCTCCAGCCATCTGACCCTGTTTGACAGGTCTTCACTCATTTTAGGATGTCTAAGAAGAAAGCAAGTTTTTTGCAACAAAAACGACCTGCTTCGCCACACAAAGTATGGACAGAAAAGCCACGAGGGTGAGCCCATCCCAGTGAACCCAGCCCGTCAGTTCTTTAGTCAAAGGGGGCAACTCAGGTAAGACAGGAGGCATAAGCAAGGCCCAGAGATTTCCTGATCGCTGACATGGGGCTTCCCAGCATGAGCCTTCTGGAGTCCAAGGGTGGGAGGAACCCGGGCTGGTAAAGCCCTCTGGGGACGGTGGATGGTACTTCCCAAGGGGCAGCGATCAAGAATAAATACTTAGTAGCTACTGCTGACTAAAGACCTGGGTCAGCCTCACTCCCATCAGAGGGAAGCTTCTAGGCCTCCAGCCCCTTTTATTTATTTCTTTCTTTTTGGCCGCACCTCAAAGGCAGAACTTCCCCAACCAGGGATTGAACTTGTGCCCCCTGCAGTGGAAGCACAGAGTCCTAACCACTGGACCGCCAGGGAAGTCCTCCAGCTCCTTTGGAACTAACTTTCTATCACTCAGTCTCTAGAGGTTCTTTGAAAGTCTCTTCCTTCTTTAGCACTGTGTTCTCCAAGAACTCGGGACAAAATAGGGTCCCGGCGTGCAGGGCTCAGCAGCCATCCACACAGCTCTCCTCCGTGTCTAACCCTCCAGGTTCAAAACTGGATGGGATGGCCTGGAGCTGGAAACAGTGGCTCAGGCTCCCTTTGTGTCTCCGAAGAGTCTGCATTTGCTAACTAGAGGAGTTTAACTGATTAATGCGCTCCCTTGATCTAAGAAGTAAATCAATCGCGCCTGGGTCCCTGTAAGCCCCCTGCGTGGGCACCAGTCCCGAAGCCGGTCTGTTCTGGCCTCTTCATGGCCTTTCTTGAAGGAACTGGCTTCAAATCCTAGGCAAAGGTTGACACTGGCTATATCTGTCACAGGAAGTAAAGGACCCCTCTAAAATTTTCTTAAAGGGTTTGATCCTGGAGAACTTGGATTCTATTCATGGACTCAGAAACGTATCTAAGGTACTCTTGGCATCCCAGGGATCGGCACAAGAGCGTAAGCACCTGCTGCTTTGCAAGGACTCAGTTTCCATCAACGGGTGGGTCCTACACCCCAGCCAACCCTAGACTCCAGCTTATCCCGTGATCGGGATGCACTGGCAGAAAAACTACTCAAAAGCCGTGTCTTGGAGGTGTGATGCTCCCGCCTAAAACTCCTGCCAAGACCTCATCCAGCTTTAAGTATTTGGGTAGCGACAGCAAGGCGGGATTCTCCAAGAGAGAAGACAGACACAAGGCAGGGCTGGCTGGGTCTCTCGAGGAGGAGGTGAAAGCCAGGCCCCAGGTGCCTCACTTCATGTGTGAGGACACTGTCAGGATCCCAGAGAAGTCGCGGCCTCTCAACCCTGTCTTTTGAAGGCCCCGTGCGCTCCCTGAGTCTTGGGTGTCCATCCCCAGTCCGTGAACATGTGCCCATGAGACCTCCAATAAAGGATCTACCTGGACCGCGCCCGGCCCTGTGGTGGCCGCTGTGGCCCTCGTGCACTGAAGATGCAGTTAGCAGCTGGCCCTTGCTCAAGCCCCACGCAACCCCAGTGAGACATCGGGGTGAGAGCTCGTTTCCCTCGCACGCGTGTGTGGAAACCCCACCTTGGGGGGCACATTGCTGGGCTGCGGCCACCATGACCCTGTGCTTTGCTAATTCTGACTTGTGAACCAGACCAGCCGGATGGAAGCCGTTCTCCAGGATGGTACCCAGACAGTGGAGCTGGCATATCTGCTCAACGTGGTGTCTGAGCCAGACGAGGGAGTACGGCACAGCCATGGCCTCTTCATTATTAGGGGCCTGTCACACAGGTAAGAGCCATCCAAGCCACACGCAGCCTCTAAACCCTCAGCACGCGGCGACAGGCCACATCAGTGCCACGTCACACGCCAAAGCGGGAGGGAGGAAGGAAGGAAGGAAAATGGGTAAAGCGATGAGGTCTTCTTGTGTCGATGTTGGTTTTGAAGAAAGACTAAAAGACTAAAGTTTTGAACTAAGATATCTAGGCCTTCAGATTTTGTAGGAATCCCGGGAATTTGCGAGGGCCACAACAGGGGGGCAGGGGGCGGGGGGGGGGGCAGGCTGGCAGAAAGGAAATGGAAACCAAGAGCCACAGACATGAGCCGCGAAGCTGCAGGCATGATACCTGGTGAGTCATTGCGGAGTTTCCTGGGGGAGGGGGCCTCTGAAACAGAGAGAGAGAGTCCCCGGTGGTTACCATCCTCCCATTCAAGTGCAATTTTAATCATCAATGCATTTGCTTCAATTAAATAATTAAAGGCACCTTTAAGTCACCCTTACGGTGGAGCACCTGAAGCCACGAGATCTCAGAGAGCCTGGCACACAAAAGGACGAGCCTTTTTTTCCCCCAATTAAAAAGCAAATTTCTGTCCTTCAGAACTTCTCTGAAGAACTCAGGTGGCTTCC